CCGTCGGTTCCTTGTCGCCGGCTGCAGCCCGGTCACCGGCACGACCGGCCCCCGGCGAGCTAGTTGTCCTTCCTTCTGACTTAGAGCGAGCTGCTGCTGCCGTCACCTCGGCCACTCTCAGTCACCCTCACCTCAGCTGCCCTCATCCCGGCCACCCTCACTTCAGCTACCCTCGCCTCGGCCACCATGTCTGGTGTCAGCAGAGGCCTGCGCCCAGCTGCCCCTGCCCTCCTCTGCCCGAAACGACCCCAGGAGCCTAAATCTGGTGCTGTAAACGAGAGGGAAAATGGCTTTCAAGTGGAGACTGTGAGTGGTCTTAGCCCCAGTGATCAGGCCGGTTAACCGATGGAAGTGGTGGGTTACCCGCAAGGATGTGCAGCAGGCAGCGGCTCAGGGACGTTTCTGCTGGGTGTGAGGGAAGTGGTCGTGACTTACCCCGTCTCTCCATAGTCAGAAGGAGGTTCCACAGCACCTCCAGGGTGGGTGTGCATGGCTTAAAAGTTCAGCAGGACCAGAAGACTTGGTACTTTGAAAATCTACAGTTGCTGAAAATGCCCTGAGAAATGCAAACTTGGGTCACGAGTGCTCTCTGATGCTTCTGCCTGTCCTACTAATACAGATCTATGGCTTGCTAATTCTTCAGTGTATTTGTATCTTGCCTTAGGAGGTTAAACAAGTGATAAATGTGCTGCTTTGTGCCATTTTTGAAATGGGTGAGCAGTATGACCTGAGTGACTAGTTAGCTTAATAGCTATCCTAACCAAAATAGAAAATCTGATGGAGAATTCAAATAATAAAAAGTTGAGAAGAAGGAATATAATACAAGTGCTCTTGGACCACTCAGTGGATAAGGAATTGTCTGGATGGTCGCACTCAAAGAGTTGCAGTCTTCGGCTCGATGTCCAAGTGGAGAGCAGAGACAAGTGACATTCCTCAGGGTTGGTGCTTGGACCGGCACTGTTTAACATCTTTGTTGATGACATGGACAGGGGGATCAAGACGCCCTCAGCAAGTTTGCCAACAACACCAAGCTTTGTGGTGTGGTCAACACACTGGAGGGAAGGGATGTGCCATCCAGAGGGACCTGGACAAGTTGGAGAAGCGGGTCTGTGTGAACCTCATGAAGTTCAACAAGGCCAAGTGGAAGGTTCTGCATGTAGGTCGGGGCAATCCCAAGCACAAATACAGGCTGGGTGAGGAGTGGATTGAGAGCAGCCTTGTGGAGAAGGACTTGCGAGTAATTAGTGGATGGAAAACTGACCAAGAGCCAGCAATGTGTGCTCACAGCCCAGAAAGCCAACTGTGTCCTGGGCTGCATTAAGTGTGGCCAGCAGATCAAGGGAGGAGATTCTCCCCCTCTACTGAGCTCTTGTGAGACCCCACCTAGAGTTCTGTCTTCAGCTGTGAGGCCACCAACATCAGAAGGACATGGACCTCGAGCAGGTCCAGAGGCAGCCACGGAGATGGTCAGGAGACTGGAGCACCTCCCCTGTGAGGACAGGCTGAGAGAGTTGGGGTTGTTCAGCCTGGAGAAGAGAAGGCTCTGGGGAGACCTTGGAGCAGCCTCCCAGTAGTTAAAGGAGGCTACAGGAAAGCTGTGGAAGGGCTCTTTGTTGGGAAGGGTAGGTATAGAGACAACAGTTTTAAACTGAAATAGGGTATATTTAGATTAGATATAAGGAAGAAATTCTTTCCTGTGAGGGTGCTGAGACACTGGCACAGGTTGCCCAGAGAAGCTGTGGCTGCCCCCTCCCTGGCAGTGTTCAAGGCCAGGTTGGACGGGGCTTTGGGCAACCTGGGCTAGAGGAAGGTGTCCCTGCCCATGGCTGGGGTTTGGGACTAGGTGATCTTTAAGGTCCCTTCCAACCCAAACCATTCTATGATTCTAAGAATTCTACACAGTGTTTTAGTAAAAATAGCTATTAATACTGTTTTGAAGAGGTACGTGACTCAAATGTAGCACTGTATGATATTCTCACACATTGGGTGCATGCAGTGCCAATAAACCATGCAAATGGAATTTGCTGCCAGATCTTGAGGAAGTCTGTAGGAAAACTTAATTGAAAGAGATGGTGTCTGAAAATGTTCTAGTAGTAGGTCCTATGTTGTACAACATTTGAAGCAATGATCTGGAAGCAGATCTAAACCTGCTGCTGCAAAAAATTCATCTCCAGGATTAATGGAGTCCTGAATAATGATGAGGACAGGGTACTGATCAGAATGTTTGGTAGAAGCATCTCATTCAGAATTAGTGTATTTTAATCCAGCCAAATGTAAAGCTGTCTATCTTAAGAACCAAGTGTGGAGGCTGTAACTGGAGAATAGAAGACTATATCATGAGAAGGTAATGACTTTGAGAAGGATTTAAGAGTCAGGATAAGTAAGCAGTCAGATAAGGTCTGTCCTGTGTGCTGCTATGACAGAAGAGGATTAATCAGTGCATAAACAAAGTAATAAAAAAATGTTTTTTTGATTCTTGTGTTTGGCCTCAGCAATACCAGTCACAGGGTAGTGCATACAGTTCTGGTTTTCACTTTTTAAGAAGCACGTTGGAAAATAAGAGAGAGCAAAAGAGTGAAGCAAAATGTTCTAATGGTTGGAGAAAATGCATTACACTGGCAAGTTTTAAGAGCCCAGACTGTTAAAAGTTATCTAAAAGAGGATTGGGAGGTGACTTGATTTTAGTGTATAGGAACATTCCTCAGGGAAAATACAGAATATTAAAGGGCTCTTTAATCTATTAGAAGAAAGGCATAATAAGAATTAATGGCCAGGGGCAAAAGCCAGACAAATCCAAAGAGGAAGTAAGATGCACATTTTTACATGGTTAACCACCAGAACACATTCCCAAGAGAAGCTGAGGATTTTCCATCATTTTATGTCTTCTGTTAAAGATCAGATATATTTCTGAAAATTGTCTTTTAGCTGAGCAGAAGTTGTGCTTTATTTTATTGGATGGTTACAGTTGAAATCTGATAGTCTGTGATACACATAGTGTCAGATTAATCTAGTGGGACCATCATGTTGTAAATTTTAAATGCCAGAAGCAGACATTTCATTAATAACCATGAGCATTAGAATCAATTTATTTTTCCTTGAAATACTTATGCTCCACAAAAAAGCTGACCTGAATTAAGGTTTTGCCTGCAGAATATGCTTACTAAGACAATATATAAAGGTTTTGGCCTTTTGCTTCCCAAGTTTACACTCTTGGGATTACTTGGAAAAAATTCTCTGCATTTTTATTTCAACTTCTGACGGAATAGATCCTTACAAGAAAATTTCATATAGTCTGGATAATAATCCTCCAAGAAATACTTCACAACCTGAACATCAATTATGTAAAATTGCCTCAAGGCCAAGAGAATCCGAAAACACCAAATGAATCCTGATAGATTTCCTATATTGTACATTATGTATATTTATATGTTGCATACGTTTGGCTCGTACAGTCTTAACCTCACTTGAGGCATTATCATAACATAATTATATTACCAATAGAGGAGCTGCTATTACTGGAGGAGGGATGAATGAAATATAAATAAGATTTCAGATCAGCACCTTGGCAGAGAAACACAATAAAACCACCCCTGAAATGGGACATCATCAATTTTTCTATCTTGAGAATGGAAGGTGTGCTGTCATTTCTCTGCCTTTGGAGAAATGTGTGATGCTAATCCTGCAAGATACATGTGCTTCCTAATTTACATGCTTTCCTTTTTCCTGGCTCTTGAGCAGAAAATGCAAAGACAGGAGCTGAAAAACAAGCTGCTGCCTTCTTTTGTGCATTTTCCCAGAGTCAAGTCACAAACAATCTCCCCTTAAACACAGAACAAACTGAAATCTGTTAATTAACTTGATGATGAATTCTGGAATGAGATTTGAATAAGTGTACAGGGAAAAAAAAATAAAAATCAGTGATTACAAAGGATAAAGTGAGACTTGTCTTTATGGTATACAATTGGTAACTTAAAAAAGCAGAAAGTGTTTGTGTGTGTGGTTGAAACTTGTTTAAACTATTAGTGTGAAAATTACTTGACATGAATACCAAAGTAGCTTTTAAATTACCTTTGCGCATTTAAAGTAAATAACCATTGCAGTGGGCACTCCAAGAGGAGTGTGGAGTGCACCCTATAACTGAACTTTTCCAGAAAATATGTTTCTTTGGAGTATTTGCAGTAGATGGCCCCAAAGCTGTTCTGAATACATTTCAGCTCACCACACGAGTGCCGTCGGAGCGTGACACCCGTAACACATGCATTTTCAAGGATGCCTGGCAAACCAGCGTACTTGCAGCCACGTTCCCACAGGCTGTAAATATTTGACAAGACAGCTGTGGGAATCGATGGCAAATAAGGTGCAGAATACATCATGCTTGCAGCTGCTGCTGTGACCACCCTGCCCAAGTGACAGGAGCAGAACCAGGAGTTCATTTTTTGAAGCAGAACATCTTGCTTGGCATTCATTTGGATGACCACTGGTTACTGAGTGTATTTAAGGTCCTAGTTCTGCCTGGTAAAGCTTTAAATAATTGGAGACCAGTTTTTGTGAGTCATCAGCAGCCAGTTGTTTTTCTCTCCTAATATAGCTGAAGGAGCAGGTGGCAGGGCATTCTCCAGGATTGTGGGACTTGTTTTCTGTCATCATCTGAAATAACTTGAATCTGGTCATCTTTTTGTGAAAAAGACATCTGTTTGATAACATTTCGTGAAGAGAATTAATGATGAAGGATGGTGGTGTGGTGTAACCTGGCAGCCAGCTACTGGGAAGAAAATTAACTCTATCATAGCCGAAACCAGGACAGATGGAAAGGAGTATCTGTAAAGGTCTAAATGGCTAGTTTCCTGTTTGAAATCATTATTCTAATGTTGCTAAGGTTTTGTTATATTATTAATTATGTTAAAGTGCCTAGAGGCAGAGGAAGGCTTCATTTTAGACAATTTTGAATGTAAATAATAAAATGCGCTAATCTGACCAGGTTTGGATTTTTTTTTAAATAAATTGGTGAGTTGAGTACCCAGACTTGAGAATGCATAAGTGTATTTATCGTAAGATTTATTGGAGAATAAGGAAATGTATATTCTTTCCAATTAATACATATTACTGTAAGCAATAAAGTCCAGAGAGTGCTTTAATTTGTTCTTGAGTATGAGCTACTGCAATAGCTCAGTGAAGGAGCACTGGGGAAGTGCTAATGTTCCATTACAGCAGTGGGAGAGAGAACATACGGAAGGGTTTTCTGCTCGTTTATGCTGTACTTGATCATTG